CCCCCCCCCAGCGACCATTTCTCCTAATATCAAGTCGCGGTACCTTTTTTTGATGTGTATGTCCAGGTGACCCGATGACACATGCTTCGTGAAGGGTGATTCTCTTACAATCTGTGACACCGATCGATTCGCGTTCTTTACCTCCATTTCCTGATTATTGTCGCTCGCGTATATGAAACATGTGTTGTTTTTTTCCCTTGGCATTATTAATTTATTGTTGCGGGCCTAATCTGTAAAATCCAATCTCATGTAGCATGACCCGTGCTCTCCTCAGTTGCTTCCATTTGAGCGACCTTTCCGGTAGGATGGTGACTCACAGGCAGCAGCCGTGGGTGACTGCGAAACACACAAAACATCTTGTTTAGTCGAGTTGTTCCAGAACGATGTCACGTGGCGCCTGCTTGCCGGTGGGCGGCGGCTCTCGTGGATTTCTGTCTCTTTTATATGGAACTCTTTTGTATAGAAAATGTAAACACAAACAATCAACAACGATATACTACACGTTCAAGATACAACCACAGTGTCGAAGTGGATGGATTGAAGTCTTGACCGTGGGTGGGACAATAACCGGCTGGGTACTGGGCTTGTTTTCAGTTCTGTTTTCAGCCGTACTGAATTTTTTACAGTGATCCCAGCTGGTGCTGGGCACAAAATGGGAAAAGGTCGCTTGCGAACCTCTCCCCGCCCGAACACGAAGCAGCACACCACTTCGCTCACACGGTTAACGGCCAGTCCAAACCTCACTCAGCGCGATTCCTCGTGGTCTACCGCAAACCCCGTTCTGTGGCATTGTGATCGCCCCCCCTTCCCCCCCCCCCTCATAACAAAGGATCACGGCTGTTCCCGCCTAGACCAATTAGGACACCCGGGTCGTTTCGTGCCAGTCTCGTCATGCTTGACGTCGGCCGGCGGCATTCTATGTGTATCACCTTATGCTGTACTCACTGGACATTCGAACGATTGTCCAAGGCATAACCATGTACGGTGGTGTTGTTGTTCCTGCAGCCTTCGCCGTTTTTTTTATATATTTTCTTTCCATCGGCATCAAACCAAGCGGAACCATCCCGCTAGAACAATAAAATTACATGCGAGTTTTGTTGCCAGGGCGCAACAAGTGACATGCGGTACTGCACACCGTCAAGTCTTGTTTATGCCCATGGACTACGTATACGGTAGACTTGCTTCGCGGTGCGGCTGGTGGCCTTGACATAGGTTGTCGTTGAAAGACCGGTGTAAACATCCCCAGCAGAGTCACTTCCAAGCACTCTCAGCCGGACTATGCATACAACCCACAACACTGCCGATCAATCAATGCTGCACTTTCGTGTCCGTACGGTGGCCGCCGTCTCGATTATAGTCGTGCGCTGGACATTTATTCTCGAGGCTCGGCCGCCTCGAAAGGGGGTGTGCCTGTTCTAGCGACCAACTGCTGCTTGCCCCAGACGGACGGTTGCTTGCCGAATATCTTATGATAGGTTCTTGTTTACTGTGCACCAGGTCTTTCACCTTCCTCACAAGCCTACACAACAAAAGGCTCTCGCGCACCAGCTTCCTTGACGCAATGCGGGCTGTCGGCCATTTTGTTCCAAGCACTCTGTCATGCTTCCTTCACGAATGAGGGTTGGGTTGTCGCCTGTTTTTTTCGGCAATGTACCACGCGAAGCTGACCGATGCCCCCCCCCCTTGACCCCAGGGGCTGTCCATGGCAGCATCCGGCGAGCAGTGGATCCCGATCCTCCCGATCGACGAGGTGCCGACCCCCGGCACCGCCAAGTCGGTCTACGTCGCCGACCTTGACCTTTGCGTCGCCGCGGACGAGAGGGGTCTTCTGTACGTGCTGGGCAACAAGTGCCCGCCGGCCAACCAACCCTTGTCCTTCAGCCTCGTCTCGAACAACGTCATCAAGGATCCCGTGCTGGGCACCAAGATCGACATCGAGACCGGCGACGTGATCGAGTGGTGCCCGAACCTGCTGGGTAAGCTGCTCAGCCCGATCCTCGGCGCGCAGCCCGAGAACTCGGGCGTGCAGACGTTCGTGGTTCGCCAGAAGGGAGGCACCCTGGAAGCCAAGATCAACGTCAACGCTAAGGCCGAGTACGAGAAGTCATACTGGAAGGGCATCTTGGACGCTCAGGGGAAGGCAGACGGGAGTTACTACTAAATTTTTTTTTCTTGTGATGGGTGGTCGTCGTCGTTCCAAGAGAAGCCTGACGGTGCTTTCTTCGCGTTGTATGGCTTGTTGTTGTTCCTGTTCATGTTGGGAGCGCGTGGTGGCTGGCGCCCGAGAGTTGTAGATCTTTTTTGTTGGGTTTTGTAGTAGATAAAAAGAGTATTTCGAGTTCTTGCTGTGGCCGTAGATTGGGGGGACCCCAACAATCAGTGCATTTGGTGATTTTCTGACTCACGGAAGAACCAATATTTACTTACTCTAGAGCGAAGGATATAGTTTGGGGATGGATTGGGGATGGCGAAGAAGAAATGTTGCAACAATTGTAGGACGGAGCGTGTGGCGTATTTACGTACCCAGAGGCAGTACACCGGCAGCTTATTCCTGTGAACGAGTGAAGTTGTTTGGAATCTTGCCGCGGGTGTTGGTGCAGTTCGTTACACCCGTTTCTTGTTGGGAATATTGCCTTGGGAGGTCCTGTCATTTGGCGCTGCTTCTGATCCCGTTTTCGTGGATGTTCGTCTAGAAATAAAGTTGAATACACGGCTCTTCCTGTCAGATGTGTCCGCTCATGACGACCTCTTTGGCCTTGCCAAAACTACAAGCGTTCTCAACAGACGGCAGCTGCGCGTATGTTCGAGATGTACAACAGTCTTCTGCTGTGGGACCGCTTTGATTCGCCCGCTGCGCGGCTCGAAAGTCGAAGCTTTCACAGGAGTAGATGTATCTCCTTTTGTTACAAAAACACCGACGCTGAGACGCGTGAGGTTTTGCGATGCCGAGCATGGCATGGTTGTGAGCTGCGTTAATCTTCCTGGCGCGTACTTTTTTGTGCTCAGAGTCGTCTCCTTTGCCGATAAAAAGCGGAAGGACCGCATCGAGAACGGCTTCCGAGGATAACATATAATGAACACCGCGGCTTGGTTGCCTGCGATACATCGAGATCACGGCAGACCACCGGTTTGTTTTGACGTATGCTTTTGTTGGCATGGTCGAAATTTTACTCCTTCTTCGAGAAAACAAAGTTTGCCCCGAATGGCCAAAACAAGCCAAAGGATAATAGCGTTCGCCAAATCCCATGACGACGAAGATTCTCACTTTTTGATCAAAATGAGAACCGGTTCTTGGAGCGGGTCGATGATATGCCAAGACCTCAATGAGAGCTTAGTTGGTCCTAACGAATCGGTAGGTCAATCGGAGTTATTCCGCGAAAAGATGGGCCTGACTGATACGTGAACTGACAGAGAGAGACGGACAGATTCTGTTAATGTTGACCATCGTTCCGTCTGATCTCTCTACCTAGTACCTTCATCTGTTGTCCGTACTAGTCTAACTATGTAACACTTGACGCGGTCGATTCCCTTGGCCACACGCTTACCAAAAAATGGTACACTATTACAGGGTCCGCAAGGTTATAGAAATCAACGACAGATCCTACTCTAGGATCCCCGTTCGCGTTTACAAGCAGTGCGAGGAAAACATAGTGGTAGGTATGTTCCCTGGTTCCATGTTTTACCTGAAGAAGAAAGGAGAGACGGCCATCATCATCATCTGGATATAAAGGAAAATAAAGCAAAAAAAATGTAGAAGAAGAACACAGAGAGAAAAAGCAAGGCGCACGTACGCCAAAACCACTACCGTACCGACATACAAACAAACAAAACAAATCTAAACCAAACTAATCAAAAAGGGCCGAGACAACAAATGCACGTCAGTCATCGCTTTTGGGGGGTTGGTGCGATGGTGCAGTGATGGTGGAGGCGGGGATTAGTCAATCAAGGGGTTCCAGCAAATGTCGCGCCGCTCGGTCCGCCTCTTCATTTTCTTTCTTCCCTCCGAGCCGTCTCGTATGAGTACACCCTCCTCGCCGTCTCGTCCGTCTGCTGCCCCCTTCCCGCTCCATTGGTTCTGGCCATGTCCGTGCTGTTGTCGGGCTTGTTGTTTTGTTTGAGCGCTCGTTGCCGGCTGGCCTCCTCTTCATCCTCGTGCCAGGAGGTCGTGAACCTCTTAGCTCCCTGCAGTAGTACCCTCGTAGCCACGGTACCCCCCGCCCAAGTTGTTTGCGGGACTCCGAAGACCACATGGCTCGGCGTCCGTAGATCCGTACTTTGCCTCGAACATCTTGAGAGATCTTTCTTCCGGCACGTCTGCCAGTTTGGCTCCGGTTTCCCCCTGGTTGGACTCTCCCCATCCACCAGCTCGCCAAGCATCAACCGTTAGTTTCGGGAGTCGCTCGTATGGTTGCCTTGCCAATGCTCCCGCGAGCAGCAGGCGCCGTTGCCGAACGGTGGCTTCCACCCTCTGGTGCCTTATCCTCTTCAGGGTCCGGGCGTAGGAAAGCTGCCGGTAGGTGCCCTTCTTGCTATAGCCGATAACTCGCAGGAGCAGCCGGTGATATATCGATCGCAACAGCCTGTCTGTAGTGTTCTTGATGTGGGGCCCCATGTCATGCAACCGTGCAGCAGTGCCTCCATTGCCTCCGCGTGGAGCAGGCGAGTCTTGAGTCGGAGCGGTGCTCTCGCCCAGACGAAAAGCTCCCTGGCCATATCTCCTGACGCACGCCCACCACGCTGTTCTGCTCCGGGAATCAATTTATCTCCTGGGTGAGGTCGCCATGTTCGTCGACGAGGCCACCTAGGTACCGGAACTCAGCCGTCTGGGCGTACCTCTGCCTTGCTGTGGCGGTAGGGGGGGCGGTGGAGTTGGCTGCCAATCATTGACGCGCATCTGGAGCGTCTCTGTCTTCTTCTCCGATACCGTCAGCCCGAACTACGCGAACACCTCCACGATGACGGCCATCGTTCTTGCCAGTCCGTCGGCAGACCTCGATACGACGCCGGCGTCATCGGCGTCTAGCATCCCCCATACCGCCCTCCGCACTTGGTTAAGTGGTGTCCCCGCCCCCGCTCCCGTCCCCTCCGCCAGATACACCAGGCTCTGCAGAATGACGTCATCCTCGCTGGATAGCAGAACAACTACCTCGACAACCGCGGCGGAGAAGATGTTGAACAGTAGCACTTGGGACCGCACACACCCTTTTCGTAGCCTTGTGTGACCCAGAACCAGTCCGAAATGTCTCCCGTCGTCTATGCGCGCCCGGGCTCGCATTCCGTCGTGGAATAAGCGGATGGCGGCGATCATCTCCTCGGCAATCCCGGCCCTGGCCAGCACCTTCCACGCACTCGGTCCGCCGAATCACACGCCTTCTTCAGGTCGACGAAGCACATGTAGAACGGTTTTTCCTTCTGCGCCCCAGCTTCTGGAACCGGCGCACGACGAACAGCATGTCGATGGTGTATCGCACAGGTCGGAACCCGCACTGTTCCTCCGGGAGGGTATTGTTCGTTTCGCAGAAGGTGCTTAGGCGGTTGGTGATGATCTTGACGGGGACCTTGCCTACGTGAGATAGCAGCGAGATCCCCCTGAAGTTGTTGCAGTTGAAGTGGTCACCCTTATTGTACAACACCTTGATGGTTGCATCCTTCCACTCTTGAGGGATCTCTTCTTCGTTCCACACAATAATAACGAGGATGGTATGGAGGTATTCCAGGACGATGGGTTCGTCGTCGTTGTCAATCTTGAGCAACTCGGCATGGAGGGAGTCATTGCCGGGTGCCTTCCGATTCTGCAGGCCGTTCGTTGCCCGTTCGACCTCCTCGAGGTCTAGCGCAGCTCCCATCCATCGAGTGGCACGTGTCGCCGGTCTCTGCGTCACTTGTTCGATGATGTCTGGGTGCAGGGTGGGGGACTTGGTGTTGGGGAGGGTGCCGAAGAATCTCGCCCATCGCCGGAGGATGTCGTTCTTGCTTCGGAGCAGCACGCTGTTCTCATCCGCAACGAAGTGTTGTCCTCCCGCTAGTCTCCCGCCGAGCCCCACCGATCTCTTGAGGTGTTGGTAGACTCCCTTACAAGCTGCTTTGAGGGCCCTCCACGTTGCTGCGTACAAGTTGCCCTTCATCGCTCGGCGCGCTCCCTGCCGCTTCGTAAGGGCCTTCTCCTACGCTGCTGTTGTCTCTTGGGTCTCACACCCCTCCTGCGTGCGTCGTCTCCGCGGTTCCTCGGTATCGCCCTCGCCGCTTCGAGGAGAGCATTGGTGAAACTCGGTCGCCATCTTCGTGGTGGTAGTCGCTCGTTCGCCCAGCCGTTGGTCGAGGTCGAGGAGGAACCGCTCAGTCACCGCCCATCGCGTTGATTCGACCTGCAATTCCCGTTGGTTGAACTGCTTCTGGTTCGGTTTGGTCCGAACCGCTCGGTTGTGGGCAAGCCTGCCACAGAGGTTGTCGGTGACTATCACCATGTTGTTGTCTGAGTCCGCCTTGACTGGTTTTGCCGACTGGGGGATGACAACCGCGTTCGACACTCGGCCGTTGTGTGCCTGTCGTGTTAGAATGCAGCCGATTCACTTCCGGTCGCTCCCCGACACATCGTCGTATGTGTGTCATATTCCGCCGTGGCGTGTCGCAAAGAAGGTGTTGATGATATCCATTTTGTTTTCCGCGTTGAAGGTCGGCAGTAGTAGTTAGTCGTTCAGCATGCCCGCCCGTGTAGTCTATTCCGAGCCCCCCCCCGTCTCCACTCATATTTTCTCCCGTCCGCGCATTGGCGTCTGTCGGGATATACACAACCTGTTCAGAGGGATCCTCCGCACGAGACAGCCAAGTTGTTCCCAGAACCTTCTCTTGCTGTCGGCGGTGGAGACCTCGGTTGGGGCGTACGCAGCAACGAAGCTGACCGCTCCGCGGTGACCTCTCGTCTCAAACCTCATGGGATTAAGGCGTTCATCGACATACTCCTTCGTGAACGTGGAGGTCTTGCACACTCACTCTCTAACGGCTATTCCCACTCCATGGGATGCACCCTTTTCCGCGCCATAGCAGGACACTCGGAAACCCGCTGCTCGAACTCCGTTTGTTTGCCCTGGCCTCCGTGTCTCCCGCAGTTTAATCACCGATACGTCTTTCGCTTCGCTGCCTCGTGCAAGACGCACTGTAGGTTCGCCCGTACCCATTCGTCCCATTTACAGTCCTTGTCCGCACATTCCAGGTTGCTATCCTACGAAGTCGGCCCTGCTGCCTCTTTCGGGCGGCGCGTGCTACTCTCTTAGTCAGCCTACGCTTCGCCTCTCCATCTTCCTTTTTTTTGGTCTTTTTTACATCGCCTTGCGGACGCTCAAAGTTATCCCGGTGCTTGCCTTTTTTACCAGAAAGTATTGTGTTCTTGTCCCGGAGCGGTGTGGCCCTCCAGCTCTGGACCCTTTACTTTCCTCTCTCTGGTGCATACTCCCACGACTTACAACAGTACAGTCGTACGGTACACAAGCAGGACGGTGACAACGATGCAATGGTGACACGCTGGGTGGACACATGTACGTAGATTCGACGGGGTACTAGTCTAGACTACTGCTGTAGCCTAGTCCTTTTGTTTTTCGTACTCCTGTATTGTGGGCCCAACACCATTCCTCGTCATGGTTCTGTCGACTGCTTGAGTGTGCAACGTGCTACGGCCAGCAGACGAGTGATCAGAGATGTTGTCATTGTGGGAACACGCAGCCACGCAGCATGCCAGCCCAAAGATTCGAAGGATCGGATTGGTACTGCTGTTATCGTCCCCGGCCTCCGAATAATGCAAGGTTTTCCATTTTTTCTCCCTCGCTCCTGCTCTGTGCAGGTTCATCTGGTTTGAGGAGTGAAAGCTGCCACGGAAAGTTGATACCCGTTTGGTCCAGCTGGCAGGCGGTAGGAGCATCAACCACGGCTAAAGAGATCCTAAGGCAGGACCTTCCGCGACAGGTCAGTCCCAGCGTTACATCCACTCAAGGCACCTGTCGAGCATGCAACACAACATGCATGTGGATTACCGTTCCGCAGAGCACACGCGCTTACAAAGCAGCACGCCGTGCCAGACGCATAGCTACGTTAGGGGGGTAGTTGGACGCACGCGTGTCGGGAGAGGCTGCTGTAGACACCCCTTCCGTGTGGAGGAAGCTCCATACCGCTTTATGGTATCTGGGAATGCGTCTATTGCTCGCTCCTAAATATGAGAGGAGACAGAGAGTCGGGGGGAACGTGAGTTGGGTCGTTGAATTGATATCTTGTGAGAGACCGCTCCGTTCTCATGAGCGCACGGCCTTACGGCAGTGTTGCTCCTAGCCTACATCCCAGCAAAGGTGATGTGATATTTTTGAGTGCTCACTGAACGCATTTTACTGCACTTCTGCTGATATTTCCAGCAGGTGTACCTATTACTGCTGCTGTGGTCCAATTTGTACCCAAGTGTAAATCCTAGTAATTCCGCAGCACGAAATCTGGAAATGTTGTGTGCGGTATTCGGTGCGCAACAGCAGCACAGCTTGCGCAGCGTTGCAAGCGCTGTGACAGAGCGAACGCGTATGTAGGTCCCAAGTTGATGTTAAACGATCTAAACAAGCATGGGAATTGTGATTGTGTCGCTGACCTCTGACACATCACAAAACACCAAACACCTGTAGGCAACAACATCTTAGGGATGTTTGTATTTTTAGTTTTCAGAAGTATACTCAGATTTAGAAGCACATGTAGTCTGCCAAATCTGCTGTAGTCAACATGACACAATGTGGTTATGTACGCAGCAGGCAATGGCGCGGTGCAACTGCGCGATTTAGCAAACATGTCCGCACACACATCCTCTTGCCACTGAAACTATGCTACTAAATGGTTAGCATTACTGGAGCCATTATCGGCTGTACAGCAGTACAAGCAACGCCAAGCCGTGTTCGTTATATGTAGCAGCGGTGCAACCACGTGGCGTGATGATCGCGAAGAGAGCGTGCAAGAAAAATCGCAGCACGATGCCCCCCCCGCTGAAGTTCAACTTCAATACAGCGCTGTGCCTCCTCGTACCTCGAAGTTACCCGAAGACCTGGTCCTGGTAGATGCCCGGAAAAGTATCCCACCTCGTCGATTGGTTTTCCACTGCTGTTGAAGCCGTCGGCCCACAACAAGGGGATACAAACGAAATCCGGCGACGCCACTGCTGTGGAGTGTCGAGAGTCGTCCCCATGCCCTCTTTTTTTGCTGGCGAACGACAGACTCAGCGAGATGCAGAAAGCAACAAGCTTCCGTTCCTCACTCCTGTACAATATGGTAGGGACCAAACCAAACCAGCTTCCACCTAATAAATGGTAGACGTGTTCCCCCCTCCCCTCTAGTTCGAGTTTGTCGTCCGAAAAGGTTTGAAACGGGATCTGACATTCTTCTACCTAGGTCGCTGGCCGATTGATCGTGCAAGGGCGAGGGTTGCATCCTCGAGGTCCTCACCGGGGAGGCCGGAGGACTTGGACAAGATATTTACTATCGTGTCCCTACGACCACACAGAAAAGCGGGGGGGGACATTTTGACAAACTCCCCGGGGTTTCGATATTTTTCGGGCGCTTTTTTCAGCGAGCGAGCGCGGGATCCCACACAGAGCTAGTGGAAATTACGGGAACACCCCGAGAATACTCGTTAATCTTGGTCGCGAGGAGGAGGGGGTCTAGTGTATGATCTACGAAAGAGGATGACGACACGAAAGCCTACAAATTAAGAGGATTTTATGGGTTTTAGAATGCGGCACGAAAGTCGATTCAATGAGGAGTGTATTGATTTTACTATGGACACACTAAATCCTATACAATAGGCTGCTGCAAGTGAGCCGCCTAAAGTGGCCATCCTGCGTGTCAATCTTCGCCCGGGGGGGGGGGGGGGGGGGGGGGGNGGGGGGGGGGGGGGGGGGGGGGGGGGGGGGGGGGGGTTGCACGGTTTCCACATGGAGGGACCCAGAACTGTGTCCTTTCATGGCAAAAAATATCCAGAAATCAAACGAACCCCCAAAAGCTCATCTGTTTGCCGCAGCGGCCTCAATAGCTAGTCGGTCGTCTTCGCCCGTTTGGCGCCCGTTTGGCGAAATTCGAGAGAGACTGCTTTTGGACCATGATATCCTGGGCCTCGGCCACCAACTGCCCCAAAAGCATCAAAGGCGTTTGAGCGGGATACGCGCCCCCCCCCCCCCCCCCCCCCCCCCCCCCCCCCCCCCCCCCCCCCCCCCCCCCCCCCCCCCCCCCCCCCCCCCCCNTGAAAAGTAGCCTGAGCCGGGGAAAACCGTGCATATCGCTCCTTTCCGGCAAGGTAGGGATGCGAGGCCAATGGCCCGACGACTACGGCATGCGTGCACATGAATACACCCCCTCCCGTTCCTCATGCCTCAGATAGAGAGAGACCCTGCATGCATGGCGACCGCCGCCGTGCTCAAAGTTCAAGAACATGTTTTGTGCCGTTCTGACAGCGTTTTGTTCGCCCCCTCTTCTTTTTCACAATACACAATTGTTTTTGAGACAACTTCGCCGCCTTTTCTACCCCGCCTGCTTCTCGGTCCTATGGTCACATCAGCTAGCTGGGTCGGATTGTTTGACCTTTGGTTGGAGAGCTGCTGCCGCTGCTGCCCCTGCTGCTAACTGCCACGGAGCCGGACTGATACAAAGAAAGAGAGCACCACAATGCGGCGACGGAGTCGGGCGTCTTCGGGCGCAAGATGCGGCAGCGGCCAGCCGCCCAAACTCGTCTGCGCGCTGGCCGCTTCCCTAGTGGCGTCGATGTGCGGTCTCCCCTGCATGGTGGGTTCGTTCCTCGTTCCGTGCCCGCGACACGGGCTGCTGTCCTCGACACCGCCGCCACCACGGCTGCCGTCAAGCCATCGAAGAAGACCAGGTCGCAACGTCGTCGCCGTCGTCCTCAATCGCGAACGAGGAGACAGAGGGGGCGACGCAGAGGAGGACGGAGATGACGGCCGAGGTGGGGTGGGGGGTGGGGGCAGCGGAATGGACAGAGCCGGGTTCGTCCGTGCCGTGGTCGGGGGTTTCATCGCGGCGCCTGCGATCGGAAGTGTTCTCGCGGGCGGCGGCGGCGGCGGGG